GGTGAAGGAGAGTTCTTTGAGGCAGACAAAGAGGTAATAATATTCTTGTGGATAAACAGTTAATTCCGATGAAACAATTCATAACGTCTTTCCCTGCGATGAATTTGGTTACTTAAGTTTATTCAAGAAGAAAAGACTGAAAGTTTTAGCCATTGTAATTATACCAAATAAAAACATGCCATTGACCGAACATCTTCCGTTTCGGATTGCTTCAGGAGAAGAAGCAGATCCCACAAGATAAGAAAGACGACCAGAAAACCGTGGACGCAGCCTTGATCAAGGCCATTGAAGCAGTTTCAGAGTTGAAGACTTACCTCGGCACAAGGTTTTCATTGAAGCAAGGAATGAAGCCCCATGAGCTTGTTTTCTAAATTTCATAACCTGTTTCTGAGGTTTCTAGGGTTTATCTCCTTTAACAGTTGTCTTATCTCTCTTGTTCACCAAATTATAGACATAAATTTTTGGCTGCTACAATTTCTATATCTTCTGTTTTCAGTTTTGACATATGGATAAACAATGGATCTTCTTTTTCAATGTGAGCTTTTGAAGAAATATTCCTCGACTAATGTGATACAAACTATAACCAAAGAGGAATAGAATAATCCCTTATTTTAGTGGTACACTGTCTTGTTTATGAAAATCCATTGATCGATTTCTATTAATCACAATCTTATCTACAAAACGACTATACGAGTTTCACATTAAAGGATGTTATATTTCAAGAATCATTCTAGATTTCTATCAGAAATCAACTATAAGAACCTCGATAATCCTCTACTTCATCGATTTTGTCCTTGAGACACCAAGCTATGGCAAAACTGATGCAAGAAATGACTAGAGTTGGGTAAGAAAACATGGAGAGATACTTCCATTGATGAACAATGGCTTTCAAGATGCTAAGTTGGCAACCTTTGCAACTCAAACAATAACCATAAGAACATTCTTCCGGAACTTGGTTTTGTTGATACTGATCTTTCCAACTCCATTCGCCTGGCTTATCGAACATCGTCCTGTCCCCACATCCGTCCGGCTGCGCGCAGCAATAAGTCTGCATAATATGCAAACATGTATAGTTTCATATGAGCAAAGCTGGTTTTCTAAAATGTACATGCTAACAATCACAATAATAGTAAAAGATCAAAATACTTACCCAAACATTGCTGTTTTTGCTGGCATTGTAATTACAGTCATGTTTGTGAATGATACACTCGATTACGCTTTGAAACTTCTCCCGAGAGACCAGCCGGCCAAGCAACTGATTGGCTGAGCGGTGGTCCTCGGCCGGATTCTTGGCGATGCCAAAAGTGATGTTGTAAATGAAGCATTTGGTTGAGTAAGAAGTTACAACGATTATGACCACAATCATACCGTAGAAGAAAAAGAGGAAAAGGCGCTTAGAGCGGCAGCAAATTCCGTATAGACCGATCTGAGGAATCAGTAAAAGGATCAAACCGAGTAATACGAATTGGCCTGAGGTTTCTTGGATGCAAGAAGACACTGTTGCTTTTTGGTAAAGACCTGTTGCCATCATTGTGAGGCCTATACAGATCAAGATTATGGTCGTCATTGTTAGCAATCCTAATCTTAATTCTGACATTTTTGAATTTGACTAAACCACCCCTGAAATTCAAGAAGATTGATACCAAAAGCTTTTTTATAAACAAACAAGAAGATAAATAAGCGAGAACATAAAACGTTTTCCGGTGAAAGTTTTTGTTGTGTTAGAGAAACC